CCTAAACATGAGATTGATTTGAAACATGCTGCCTTGTCACACTTTATTTGGGTCTTTTCTTATTCGTAGTGAGACGAAATAGGTTTCCACTTTTTAGGCACAATTTGATTGGGGGGGGGGGGTCACAGGGCATTTCGTGCTTCAAACTATGGGGTAGGTAGCGAATAGTCTCTTTTTATTCACACCCAGAGAATTAATCTATCCTGGCTGACATGGAGAAACTGCTTTATACCAGTGTGCAGAAGCGCACTGTTTTTTGTTCAGATTTGCAAACTCTTTGAGCACAATATCAGCTAGATACCAGGTGCGTCCACAAGATACATTATTATCGGCTGCGACATAAATCAACCAGTGCATTTGTTTAATCATTAAGGCGTTTTAACTGTCTAAAAAGTCAAGTGTAGCTTCCAGCTGGCCTGATTCTTGGGGGTCAGGCTCTAAGTCTCTAATATGTAGGTCAAATTGTGGATTGATTTACCAACATGACTGACACAACTTGCTTTGGTCATCATGTTCATTTTCGGGCGTGACAGTACTCCAACAGCCAATGCCAAAAAGTAGTCAAACATGGTGTTTCCTCACCGTAGGTTGCTAAAAACAGCATATGGCACCATTCTTCTTCATGGCTGTCATCAACAGCATTGACAATCACTTTATGCTCCCCAAGGTTTTTGGAGGTTCTCTAGAAGATGGGATGCAATTGCGGCTCATCGCTTACTAAGTCTTACTAAGGCGAAGATAATACATCCCGAGATCATCTGACTAGCATTTGCACACCAGAGCTGATAACCACTCTGGTACAATCGTTCCATTTGGGCTTAATCATCAATCTCTGCATTATTCATCTCATGGTCGACGCACGAACTATTTTCGGTCTTCCGTGTGTTAACTAGGGGGCATCACGCAGGAAGAGACTTTTGTGGAATATGATTTTTTTGGGAGGGAAAGCGGGGTTCAGACTGAACTTTGCCTACCAGGAGCACTACTGTGATCCCTCCGGAAGAGTGACCCAGTTTATGTTGTCGGTCTTAGGGCGTTTCACATATTCCCCCGCCTCTTTGTACTTTCCCGACCTCTTGCTTGACTTTGAAAACACAGTCGCCCTTGGAGGACAGCCGTTCTTCCCCTTGTCATATATGTCTACGTAAGTATGTCGTCAAAGGGAACGGCCATATTTCAGCGAAAACTCTTGTTGACAGTTACTTGAAGAGTCAAATGACCGTACTTTCCTCATTATATTAATCCTGAGAATATGCCAGGGGTAACTGGAACGACAGACCAGTTTAGTTGTAAATTTGTGTGTATCGATAGTAAACGACGAAATACAATCCACAAGCATCCCAATGTAGTCACCAGTCCTTCTACAGAATCCTTTATTAAAGCCTTAGTAGCGGTAGTAGTATTGGTGGTGCCTACTGGGTAGCCAGGACGTCATTCTGGGTGAGCTAAGAGTTCAGCAACTCCAGACAATGTACATCTGGTACCAGCATCATCTGGCGCCTCAGCACCATTTCCAACCAGTGCACAGGAGACACTCATGGGGCTCATGTGTGAGGACCGGCAAGTAATGCAAACCGAAAGCTGGCTTAGTAGTTCACCTTCGAGTCCACATCTGTGAAAGTGTTGGCACGAATGTGGTTACCCTAATTGACCTGCGCTGATTGTTCCCGACTTTTTTCGACAAAGACTGACCTCAGCCAACACCACCGGCATGCACACTCCACCCAACATGATGCAGATAAGCCTGGTCGAGTGAAGAATTCTGATGTTGGCTGATCCAAACAAAATTTGCAATCACACTTGCGCCTAGCTAACATACGCAAACTGCTCTTTTCGTGAAATTGGAACAGTATTTTCCTAGCCGACCGGCTACTAGCATCAAAACTGGGCTACGTGTGCTTAACTGGCAAGTCGTTTGGACAAATCTCCATCTAGCGGCCTTGACCAAATCATCGGTTAAACAATTCTACATTCGTCAAACTCTAGAGACTATAGCACTCGGTTCAAACAAAGCGTGGATTGTGTCGTGTCACTCATAATCCCATTTTGACAGCTCACTCGCATTTGCCCGAGGGTTGCAGGCTGGCATCATGACACAGGAGCAAGTTCTGTCAATTGCCGACCTCCACACATGCAGGACATTTACAAACGTGAAAAGTCCCTACGCCGTCGTCAGCTAGCCCATCGTGTACCAGCAAACCGAACGCAGATTCACCAAGTCAACTACGCCACCATCCAGACAATGTGTCTCAAAAGATGGAAAGATTCAGCGTCTGCTGTGCTCGATGTGTCGTGGAGGGATCCATAAAAAGTTAACTGTGGTCTACTTCTGGACGCGCAGTGCTACCATCTGATTGGAATTTAATCGAGTCCCGAAGGTCCCAAATCTGACTTCATCGGGCCAACTGAGACCGATTTCCGTGTTATCCATCTTTGTTCGATGCTTTCACAAGGTGCTTGCTGATCACTGGAGCCGTAGATTGCAACTGCCTTCGTTCCACATTGCATTTCTACATCGAGACGTTTGCTCGGAAGCTACATTGCTGTTACCTATCCTGCTTCTCCACTCTTCATCAAGTACTTTCAACCTCAGTTTGGCTTTTGTTGATATCTCGAAAGCGTTTGATTCGGTTTCACATGACACAATTGACAGATGTGCTGAGGCGCTTGGGGAACTGACACATTTAGTTCCATAAATCGCAAGGTCCAATGAGAATGCTGTAGCAGTACTTCCTAATTTCGAAGTTCACTGCCACTGAGGTGTGAGACNAATTAGACCCACTCTTTCAAATATTTCCCATCATTAAAGTGGACGAGGCTGTTGGATTTTCGATGCCACATCTAGGACACGAGTTCGATGACACATTAGTAGATGGTTTAACCTCTGCTGACGACTGGGTCGTGTGTGAAAAAATCAAGCTCGCCTTAAATAGAGGCTTAAAACTGCTGCAGTCGAGTTGGGAAGCGCTGTAATGACGATGAACCTCCGAAAGAGGAGGTCAGTAGTGATTTGTGGGACAGAAAAAATCGGCCCACCGCTGTCTCAGTCAAGCCTTTTTGCCTTGCAGACGAACTCATCAATCCTTTGGGTCCCACAGACAACATAACACAAGTGAGTGTCCCCTTCAACCTCAAAAGTAAAGAGCTCTGCAACCACTGAGTACAGCTGCTGAAACTGTCCGATAAAGTGACGCATGTTCCGTTAAAGCCACGATAACGAATAGGGATCGCAAGGAACTATTGTAACAAGGCTCACATCGTGCCCCGGCAAGGCCATAGGAACACACTCAAAGGTGGAATAATCACGTCGTGCAATCTACTCGTGCCTGGCTACGTCTACTGAAGGACACCCCGATCAGCTACATCCATGCTGGTAAACAACATGGGAGACTGGTATTTCAAGCCTGAGTTCAACCATCCAGGTGCAGTAGAGAAGCTTCTACTTATCCAGTGCTAAGTACTATGCGAAGTGGTCAATGGTTCCACATTTGGTATGATTGATCGGGGTCTCACTCTTCCGATCCGAGTCCAGGATGCATGCATGAACACCAAATTAGAGCTACTGGCTGTTTGAGGCGATAGTCTGTACAGCAACGTCGACGATCGCGGTTTTGGGCTCACTGCGGACTAAGACACTTATGCGTGATACATAGCATCAAGTATTCATACTTGCTATCGACTTTCACACCTGACCCAGTGTGATAGACACTTTTTGCCTGATGTGCGAGTCTTGAATGTGGTGGCGCTGACGGTGCCTTGAAGAGCAGTCAGCATTGTTTGTCCTTTCTTCGGTTGTCGATCTTTTTTCCATGCTTCTTCTTCTTTCCATGCTTGTTTCCATATCAATCATTCTTACATATGTTGGGATTCAGCTTGTCTGATTGGATTCGCTGATGGTACGACTTCGAATGGGACGCTTCCTTCGGTTTATATAATATCCTCTTGAAACCCTTCCACATTGCTTGCATTTACTCTTTATGTTTGTGACCATGCACTTCAACAAGGAACATCGGTAAATATGCTATTCCAGGCACATGCAGTGAAACTTCAGAACGGCTGAAGGCTTGACTCATTATTGGCCGGATGGACGTGAAATCTATAATATTCCATACAAGTGATGATGCTGGCCTGCATCAAAATGATACTTTACTAGTGGTGTGACTTATTGTTTAACGTTCATTACCAAGCAGATCCGGTACTTTCCCATATATCCCTTTCATATTTTTTGATGCTTTGTCATTTATTTTTATGAATAGTAGTGACTGTAGCCACCAAGACGTTGCTTAAAGGGGTCTCAAAAGTAGCGAAATACACTCATTTGCAAAGGTTCGCCGTATCGATAATTAATGTTGCAGAATTGAGTTGCAATGAGAATCTTCGAAACGACTAGAACATCTATTTTCGAAAATAGGAAATCTTTTTGGTGTTGCCAGATTTCATGCCTACGATGTTCGTTGAAACAGTGTTCATCCCAAACAGTTTTTTTGGGGAGTGACCACACAAATAAGTGCCAGAAAAGCAAGGCATTTTTGGATGGTGATAATATCAACCAACTTCTTCGCAAAAGAGCCTGAGAAATTGTTAATTCTTAGTGATATATATTCACCGAACTAACACTTGACAAGTCTTGTAGCCATCGTATCTGGTATTGTTTCATTCAGCAAAGGCAAGCCAAACGCAAGAAGCCCTGTTCAGTCAGGTTATTGTCATTTTTTTCAAATAGAATCACGGTTACTGAGACGTAACTGTGCATTGCCTAATGATTCAAGATCACAGTGCCTGTTGCACGGGCCCCGTGTGATATGGTCAAGCAGACAATTCGGTGGACTGAGGACTAGCTAGATGTGAAATCAGGTCACAGATTCAGAATTTTGTGGCTTGGAGTGTGGTCGTTTGAAACGCAACGGCTTCAATTCCGAAATCCACTTCCAAAGCCTTTTCCAGCAATGAAGAGGTACAGTAACGTATGGTTACAGACATTTTATTGTCCTTCCTTTCAGTATCGTCGGATATCGACAGTCCAGTTGCTGGCAATTGAGGGAGTCGCGCAGATCTTCGTTCGTGTTCTTACTGGGCTTGTGTTTGATCATGCTCGAATCAAACCTCATCGCGGCATCATTTGGGCTTGCACCATTTCCTTCTCTTCACTTATAATATTTCTTCTCGCCTTCGCGCACAGTTTGTGGGTCTTGTCTGTGCTCATGTGTCTACGTGGGGTGTCGCTTGCCATCTACATCTCCCAACAGGCCGTGATTGCATCAGATATGTGTGAGCACGCGCCTGAATCACTGAAACAAACCATCGGATTAACTCAAATTGGAAAGGGCGTCGGTGTGTTCCTTGGATCGTGGTTTTCCGGTAAGTGGTGTTTACTACTGATTGTGATACATCGATTTTTATTGATTTTCCTCACAATCTCAACAGAAAGTAAGCGAATTCCTCCCATCATTCATTCCCCTAAACACAAGCTTCTCTGATTCATGTGAGCATTTTGTCAGCCTCGAAGCTCGGTCTAGGTGTCTCAGGTAGACTTCACATTATTTCCCACATGTCTACTTTATTAACTTTATACCTTATTGGTGAAATGAACTCATTTTCAGACTAGGCTGTTGTTAGCATATGGCTGCCTGATGAACCCCAAGAAGAACTAAAATGACGGCGAGCTGTCGGAGAGTTTTCAGCAATCTTATGAGTAGTACGTTTCAAACGACGTGCTATTTACACTCCGCCACCATTCCTGTTAAATTGTTCAAATCCTACAAGCTATAGCCTTAGCTATTGTTCGTCGGTGCGAGCCTTCCCAAGTTGGACATATAAAGCAGACTGAGCCAAACGTATGTGATCGCTTAACTGCATTGGAACATTCGCCCCCTATTGCCCCAGGAGGTTCACACTGGTGACTTTGGTATTTGTGCTTCCAAGTTTTCAGAACGCCATGCTTAGACCAGCTATCATTTACACCGCGACGAATAGAATTCCAAGACAGAGTGAGTTTAAAAACATTTCCAAGCATTCATTCGGTGCTTTTCGTCGCAATAAAAGACAGTAATCCGACTAACCTGTTTTGAGACAAGGTTGTTGCCGACATATAACGGGCATTCTCTCACATACACGGCAGTTCAAGCGACGAAGTGACTGGGTTGCCTCTGTTGGAAAGACCAAGTGATTATGGTCGTACGAAGTTGGTTAGCCTGGCCACTCAATTTGGACACCCTGGTGGCGTCTTTTTCGTTTACGCGTTTGTATTTAGGCGTTTTACGAATGGGAACAAGGTACTGAAACTCAAGGCTGACAACAACAACTCAGCTTGAAGAAAGAGTGAAACTGACTCCAAGACGAACGTGGTCTTTAAATGCTCAAGAAAGTCTGATCAATCTGAACGTAGTCTAATTTTTTTACTTTGGGACAGAGAGCAGGGCACCGAGAGGATATAGGAGGTGGGAGTTCGAAGTTGGACAGAAGGATGGCGGGGAAAAATAGAGGGCCATGGACTTTCTTTGGTATTAACGTTCAAGAACACAAATGATTTGCTCATCAGTATACCGTTTTCAGGTGTCATGCGCACACCGTCCCAATAAACGTCGGTGTATAGCCTACTGAAATGAATATGTGGACCACAGCCCTTGAATGTATGTAAACAAATATCGGTGGCCTAGGTTTATTGATAACGGACTTGCACTGTTATCAGACTACGCCGTATGTATATATGTACTACCATATGTAGCCTATCCTCCCACTCCAACGTCATTGGCGGTCTATTGGGTAGACTTGAATACAATCCTTGTTTGCCGAGGTAGGTGCTTTATGGTTGCACTGTCTCATCAGGATGAAAACTGGTCAGCTGCAATTAACTGCATTTGAAATGAAATAACCATTAAAGACAACTGATCCAAGATCCATGTTGAAAAGGCTGCTGCGCATTTTTGGCTGCTGGAGGACTAAGCTAACACTACGTAAAGCTGAATGCGTTCTCAAAATTGTGCCTAGATGGAGGACTTTTCACTCCACTCAGTATGCTCCTTTCAGGACTTGGGGACTTCTAACTTTTATCAAATGAATAACTATTGTTTATATACAAAACCTAACCAGGATTTTCGTCACTATATTTTGAAGTACAGTAATTCTCCAAAAAATGACATGAGTTTTCACCAAGGGACTGGCCGTATCTTCAAGAGGCGTCGAATGGTGCATTCCCGCACGGAATTCCTACACATCGTACAAGGTTATGCGACTGTTTCTGTCTTACTTTATGTAGTGCATACATGGGGCCGAAGGACAATGAGATGAAAAATCTAGGGGTGCTACTTTGAGTGAATGCATGAGATTGGCTGCTGTAAGTGTGCCCGGTACTGCAATTTGAAGAAATTCCAGTCGGATATATTTTCGTTCTCTCTTAAGGTAGCATGTGACTTGGTCGAGGCTTAAACAGAGCGTGTTTTACAAAGAAATTGAACGACCTGTTGCGTTTGAAAGATTCCTGTGCGTATTCAGCCTCACTTCCACAGAATAAAAGTTCCTTTTGCCCCAGTGAGACAAATTTCTAAAGTGGGGGAGATTACCAAATTACTGGTTTTACACTACACCATTCTGCTGATTAAACTGGTTGAAAGTTGCACTCCAAGCAACGCGTATTTAGGGCCTTCGTTGTATCCAGTAATGGGTTGGGTATGGAATGCGACGCGTTCAAGTGCAGGAGAGGGTACGTTCTGACGTCTTCGGACATCTCTACGTACGGCACACGTCTCACCCATATACTGCATGCGAGAACCTACATCACCGATTTGCTCTCCTCTAGCTCAGTCATAAATGTCTGCTTCCATAGAATACCTTGGAATATGAGCTGGAATTTTGGTGAACCAGTCTAAATTCACCATTGGTGATCGCTGCTTCACAAAAGTCGACTTTATCCTAATCATGTCAGAAGGACTGACTTACAGTAACGCCAAATTGGGAGCTCGCCATTAATCCTATGGAGACTGTCTTTAACAAGGAATCTTCAGCCGGTTAACCAACCTCCTTTGTGTATGGCCATTACTTCTTAATCAGGTTCGCCTTACCACTTCCAACACTAACAATATTAGCGATTTTGTGTTCAACTATGCATCTCTGCACGCCATTTCAAAGGCATGTGCGTTCGTCACTAATCAACTTGGTGGATCTGACCCGTCAACTTCGAGCTATGGCGATTAATCAGAAGAGTGTGCCACTTCACGAGCTTTCAGCAGCCTGGTGATGGCAGTAAATGTGTCCATACAGAGAAGTTGGAATTTGACGGGAATGACAACGTGGCTAAACTGGTTATGATTCTGAAACAGGATATCCTTTCCGGCATACACGAAAAAAGACTGCTTTCAAGTGTGGTGCCTATGTATAAAAGGAACTAAATTTCTGAAAGAAGAAAATATGCAATTATCTAAAACACGCTCAACTCTCAAGAAGTGCAATGGTCATGAATTCGTGACCTACACAGATGGTGTGCGTTACAAGATTAATACGGCTAACAATGTGGTCAAGTAGCGTGTAAAACTCCCCAGGCCCATGACGCAACATCTTTCTCACCATAGCTTGAAGGATAGCTTTTAGCTCTGAACTAATGTGGACTCGTTGCCGGTAAGTACCATATCTCGTAAACACTCTGATCTCTCCCCTTGTGCCTCCACACTGTAATTCTCAAAGATGAAGTGAATCGGCTATCGTGATTTCCTAGTAAAATTCTACAATTAACGTCGAATGACATTCAATAAAATGAAAAAATGGAACTTCTCTGGGGAGAGCAGGTGGGCGATATATCGGATGGCCAACAGCTCTTTTCGCTCGATTTGGGGCTCATCAGATGGAGACGATCACGAAGTTTCCTTCAAATCTATGCCCCATTTGAACACTAATTTGTATGTAACCGGTAAAATATACCCATTTATCAAATCAGTTCAACGTTACTGATGTTCGGTCTTCAGGACTGTTTCATATAACCAACAGTCAGGATAAGGTTCCACTTTTTATACGAGGACCAATCCACGGACTGTCCTTACTAGAACACATGAAGCATGTGAACCCAATGCCAGTGATTCCGGTGATTATTCGTCGACAATCTTAACGCCGTCTTCTAGCTGCCATTCTATCCTTGAGCTTCAAGAAAGTGTTTTGTCAAAATGGAAAATTTAGCCGTTAAGCGTGATGAGCTCAGATCCGGTCAAGGCCAGTTGTTTGCTGTTCGTGAATTTGGGTCAGTTGTTTAATACGACTTGCTTACAATTTCACTGCAAACAGTTCAGATTTACCTATTATTTTCGAACTTCTCGAAAAATCAACATTTTTTATGTTTCCATATTTTTCCTATATGCGAATGCTGAAACTGCCCGTCTCTACTTTAGGGAATCATCAAGTAAAAAAGTCGTCGATTCGTGACCGGAAAATCTAGGTTTTGGTCATTCCAAATCTTTTGGCTGCAGACCTAGTTAAGTTGCCCTACTTTTGCTTGTCTCTGGTTGGTCCTTTATCCAGCAGTCCTTGGCGAGACGTAGGAACAGTCGTACGGCACCAACGGCAACATCTTGGCAACATTATCATCACTAGCTGTGAGAAAGCGTACTTGACGTACAGTGGTTCTAGCTACTGCAGCTTCGTCCACCGCTGATTTGGGGAGACGGGCAGTAGCTGATGTAATTGATGCTTAAATACAGGGTTGTTAGTGGACATTTAACTAGTGAGATCGGGCAGGGTGCTATACACTGAAGGCAATAGCTTGGTTGCACTAAGGGCGCGACTGGGCCATGTCTGACAATGTTTCTAACCGTCGAAGTGTCCACTCTCGGGATACGTACCCAGGGGACGGCAGTGAACATCGCAGCTGAGTTTGCCGGTAATGGATTTCATACTTCTCTGCCAAGTCATTGTTTGGCCTCCCCTGACTCGGTTCTACCCTTCGAATGGTTTTGCGAAAAGAGCCCTTTGAGAAAGTCGGTCCATTGGCATACGCAGAACGTGGCCAAGCCAGCGCAACCTCTGCAGTGTGATCAGTTTATCTATCAAGGGTGTTATTTCTCCCGAATACCATTCGACGAACTTCAGCATTGCTGACCAGATGTTCCCACCAGACTCGGTCACTGCTCTGAAGATATCGGTGGTCAAACACTGAAAGCCTTTTGGTGTCCTCGACGCGCGGTGGTCAGGTTTCTGACCCGTGCACACCGCAGCATTGTGAACCCGACCTCTGGCGGTTAAGCTCACACAACAAGTGACGCAGGTTCACGAAAGTTCCTCTGGTCTTCCTAATTCGGATAGAAATATATACTTTGTTGAGACCAGTGAGACTAACAAATTTGTCTACTACCTCAGTCGGCTCATCCGCAAGTATGAGGCTAGGTACCGATCCCACCCAGTCTTGCAGCAGCACTTTACACCTTGTAGATGTGGAGCGCATGCCAAACCGAACCGTTGGCACACCTGTTTATGAAGTATTTTACGAAATATGTTTAGTGGCACAATTGTATGTCACAGCACAAGCCTCACACCGTTGTCCTTAACACATAACTGTAAGCACGTTCTTTAAACAAAACAAAACAAAACAAAACAGGATCTGACTCCTGGATTCCGTTTGACAATAGCCGATCGATAATCAGATTTTTCCGTCACGGTTGTTTGCGTCCGGCCTTTTTTAAGGAGCTCGCTACACCTGACTGTGCAAAACTTATTTCATGGAAATTGAAAACGTTTTCATACAAAAATTATACGAAATTCACCAAGAGGAAACTATGTAGTCTAAAGTGAGCGAGTTATAAGTTGAAGGTTTGTATAACTATGGCATTTTTAAAACTTCAAACTTCCTTTCAACCCATAGATAGCCAAAATTTGGCTTTCCAGTCCGGTCTGTGTGAAACTAAATTTCAAGGTAGACGCAATAGCTTTTGGAGGTTTTGGCACCTGGAATGTTCATACTCGGCTGGTCCCAGGTCTTTCTCCTCGATTATGCAAGTAGATTCACAACGTTTTGTGGGCATCCTTGGTGTCGCTGTCAGTGCCAAGTGATACATTTAAATCAAATCCCTAGAAGTGTTTATTTACTGTGACCATTTCTGGTTGAAAGAAGCTATTCAGATGGGGGAGTGTGGAACAGAAACCACCGAGCACTTTGAGTTAGATGCATTCAGGGCTACTTCTGTCGGAATATACGAATATTTTCCAACTATATTTTGGGTTTCGTCACCAATTTGCAAATGGTGGAATTAGACAAGTTCTCGCTGAAGCATCTACGACGAAAACTACAAGTAACTCGCTCATCGGTAGGCCGCATCCCTTCGTTACTCGTGGTAATCCGTTGGATCCCTTGGAAACGGGCGCCGGCTTTGTCATCAGGAATAAACTGTAAACTGATTCATTGGGAATATTTCGCTTTGAAAACCAATGACTTTTTGGATTAACTGGACGTTTACCTCATTGGAATGATTCACACGGGACCTGTACATACCGTCTGTGTCCCAAACCTATTTGAAGTGATGACTCACACTCCTACTTTATCCTCATTATCCCCCTCATGGATAAGCTGTGTGGACTGCTTCTGAGCTCGAGGTAGCTCAGTGGTTTGGGCGTGAAGTTACTAATCAGAAGGCCAGTGGTGCGAACTCAACCTCCGCTTCTCGACAACTCTTGCACTTAAAGAACCTGGCAGTGTCTCAGCCCTCGCTTATCCTTCGGGTGGCACGACAGCTATGCACCGGAAAGATGTTACAACTGAACGATTGTTTTTTATTTCTCACTGTTTCGTAAGAGTACCCGGTGTCAGACCAGGTTACTAATAGTCTGACTGAGCGCAACATAATGGTACGATATATATATATATATATATAAACAGCATCTGCACGTCTCACAACTGGGGTATTATGACGGCATTGATGTATGTTTCCACCGCAGCGCACTTTCTATGTTCCTTTAAATACAGAAAAAAGCAATTTATCAAGTCAGCACGATGAAGTCGAGTCCATTAAAATGCGGTCCACTCCTTAAAATGGAACACCCAAAAGCGGCGACACAGTTGTTCGGACATTGATCTAGACGATACCTAGTGTGTCAAATGGGCCAATCCCAAGCTGTTCGTGTACCACGCGGTCTCGAGTGCAGGCGAAGTTAACAAATGCGTAACCAATATTTCGTTATTTCGACTGAAGTCCACATGATCAGAAGAAGCACTCTTGTGGTTGTTGTGAAATGTATTAGAATTTGCTTGCAGAGTGTAGTATCGAGGGTGTGATAGTTGAACTGGCTAAAACTACAACCGCATTTGTTTCATGGCCAACTATGATTAAAGTAGGTGTAGCTCTGCCAAGGCTTGATGTAGTTTTATGTAAGTGAGAGCTGTTGTGGAGGAACGTTCAAGGTAGGATTAAAAATAGCAGTGCAGGAAACCAGAAAAAGTGGTACTGTGCAGATAACGCCACCGATTATTAGGCGTGCACAACAACAATACGATCAAAGTAATGGGTATGCTGCAACTAGAATCAGCAACAACGCTACACTCGTGCACTGAACACCGGGAACAAGTAAAAGGCTCTGTAAAAGCCCATCGTAGTCAGAGTTTGTGCATTAGCGAATTATAAAAATTCAGGTATTCGAAAAATACGCTCGTTTGCATATCAGTTTGGTTTTCATAGGGGACTCAAGTGAATCTCTCGTTTATGATGTTCTTCAACTGAATGTGCTGCACACAGGATGCCTCATGTTTCAGCTGGCACGATATTCGAGATATCGCAGTATATTATCATAAACGGAACTACTGTGTGCAGCACATTCAGTTGAAGAATATCACAAACGAGAGATTCAGTTGAGTCTCTCGTGGAAACCAAATTGAGATGTAAATGAGTCCAATTTGGGTTCGAGTAGAACATAAGGTTGACGGAACCTCTGGGATTGCGCCTACCTGATGAGCCCCAAGAAGGACGGAACCAGTCGTGGGCTATCTAAGAGTTTTCAGCAACCTTATGAGTAGTTTCCCTTATGAAGACTCAGGTATCTTCTGGTCGCGGTGCTAGAAACTGTCATCAAACAAACACCGGAACATGGCTGAACTTCTGATCCATACCGTCGATAAATAACAGCCTGCCATGGTGCCGCACGGTGTCCACCAGTCTGTCATTTCGGTCGACTACGTGTGGGTTATTGCCACTGCGACGCTCCGTTGTTTGCGGCTAGGCGGTTTGGGTGAACTCCTCCGACAGCCGAATATTCATGGAGGTGACTAAGATTCAGCGGCGGCAGAATTATGAATTCGCCAAAGAGAATACAGTGATGGCTTTTAGCCATTTGCTACGAGTGCATATTACAGGTCAAAGATAAGCCGTTTTTAGGTGCCAAACATTGGAATTTGATCAAGTGGCTTTTGATCTGCTCCTCAAATTGGTTTATTGACTCGCAAACGTTTCGTAAAACTATCATGTGGGTAGTAAGCAACTCAGCAACTCAATTTTGACAAGCCTAGCCGCTTCCACGTTTTGCAGGATCCAGTGTTTCACTGGGGATGCTGTGATACGTGTTCGAGAAAGAATAGCATGCATGCCCTCCCGATTGTATGTTCGGTGGAATTTCCAATAGGTAATCACCAGTTTATAAACTGTAAAGATGGGTCAAAACGCAACAAATGGCTTTGGACCTCAAGCAAGCTTAGTAACTTGACTGTGATAATCAATTCCCAAGTAATCCGAGAAAGACGGGTTGAAACATTATTTCAAGGAAACCAATTTATCAGGCCAAATTTGTCAGATTTGAAAGTAGTTGGTGTAGTTGAGGGTCTCCAAGCTTTCTTTGAATAAATGCATTTGCATCCGACCCACGTTTTTTGATACTAAGGAGACACCTGGCACAGGTTGATGCAGCTCCTCTGAGAGAAGGTCAGATTCTATACAGTTGTTAAAAATACTTTAAGAACTATTCTCACCCTTGGGTATTCATCTGAAAGAAACGTCGTCAAATCTCTGCTCAGGCACGGGACGTAACTTACGAAACCCTTTGGAGTATTTCATTAAAGCTATTATGAACGGCGTGCGGATCAGTAAACAATCATCTTAGAAGATCGAGACCAGCTGTCAAAAGCTCAAAAAGTTAACGTTTATTGGATTCATTTTAAGTAGGTTTTCTACCAAAATTTCCATCAATCCCATCCTGCATTACTTATTGTTATTGGTATTTGCTGTGCATAGAGACTGTATCCAGCTTCTTGAGCTTTGTAAGTTACCTATTCACGCCTGGTGATTTCTGAAGTTTTATTTCACATTGCTGTCCACAGGTGCTATTCGAGACTATACCACTCACTATCGACCGGCATTCTTGTTTCTGAGTTTGATGCAGTTTATCGGTTCATTGACTGCTGGAGTGGCTGTACTATATGCTGGTCATCCGACATCGCGGTGTGGCCCTTGTTACAAAACCCGGTATCGAGCTGTCTCCAATTCTGAGTACAGTGTGAACACAGACCTCACGGAATGTGGCATCGAAGAGAATAGGCACGACGAATCTGCCCCGGTCGTTGGAAAGAATGACCGATCACGTGATATAAATCTAACAGAGTCCAGAGCAAATCTGTCAAGCTCCTCAAGTGTTAGGCGGAGTGGGCGCATAATCACTGTCGAGGATGAAGAACCAAAACCTCCAGTATAAATAGACAAGTAAGCCATCCTTGTTTTCATTTGTGTGTGCTGTAGAAGGTCAATGATCATTTTTTCTCCATATCCGTTGTTGGGACATTCCAACACGCCAGATTCGTAAAAAAACTGAATCTAGAGTATTTGAGAAAAGACTTGAGTTCTAAACAAATAGCTTTTAGCAGTCACTTCGTAAAGATGTTTGTGTGAGTGAAATCAGACAACTGTTCCGCTAGTGGTTTTTTATCCTCCCACTGGGAAACTTTTGGCACAGTAGACCGGAAAATATTTTGTACCCCGTAGGCTGTTGGTTCAAAGTGCATGCCTGATGATATTCGGAAAAACCTGTTGTTCAAGAAACATGGGCATTCATGTATTTCGAAGCTGATAGAGTTTCCGCATTACACTGTTTCAGTTATGTGATGATCCGCCCTTAGATGAAACTTACAAAAGGAGCGCTTCGGTATCCAGAACTTTTTAAAAACGGCAGCTCACTTTGCCAACAACAACTTTGGAGAAACAAACTTGCGCTTACTCTAAGGTTATTGAAAAATGGCATTTCAAAGTTGAGTTTGACTTTCCGAACCACATTTTGTAGTTTTTTGGCTGATGAAATAATTGAAACTCTAAGTAATACGTCTTTGTTCTTTTTTATCCATAAACCTCTTATCCCGTGTACGGAAGAATTGGGTAAACCAAATGAACAGAGCGACTGACGATGCTTGAGTAATTGTCTGGTTCGTTTATGATCTCATATTCCTGTTTAAATGGTAGGAACTTTCAAACACACTGCTTCTAAAGTCAGATTTTATTGTTTCAGGTTCTGAGATCTTCCTCACGCGATAAGATCTGTGGGTGGACTGTGAAATCCACACTCGATGCGCAAATCACAGTCCTAACTAAGCCTAGTGATACCTCGTATTGATGGTTACCAAGCTTAATGGACAAGCTGTTGTGGCAACACGCCTTTCTGTTGGTTTAGAGCTTTTGATTTATGCGTTCCACAGCTACTTGTTTGAACTTCGACCAAAGAAAACGGAATGCATAACACAGTTGCGAAGTGTGTTACAAGAAGTATCGACTGCTGCAGGGAACGTGCTGGAAAATCCGGCTTGGGCCATCTTAGAGAAATATATTCTTCCATTTCTTCCGTGTAACAAACGGTTCCCCACAACGTCAGTTGTTTGACTTCGAAAATGCTCAACGATTGCTTGATGTGATGTGATTTTGCAACTATGACCTGGGGGAAACTGACATTATTTTTCACAGGTTGAGGTAAAAACTCGTGACATTTTCGAAACGGTCCGATTCCGGTTCTTGCACGAGTGAATTAAAAACACACATGAAATGTTACCTTTTGCGCTGATACAAACGAGCAATTCCATTCTGAACTGCAAGCACCTAGGTCCATTTCTACACTACAGCCACCTGAATTCGACATTCACCAGAAAGTTGAACTGGAATCAGAAAAAGGCTGCACACAGAATTCTCGGTTTCACTGGTGGCTTAGAAGATACACAAACGGTAACGCTTGGAAAATTGTCTTCTCTGTCGACTTGTTTCACTTCTTGATTGGATAAGATTTTTTCTCAAGGTCTAGACAAGTTTCCTGAGGTCAGAGTCCTGATTTCTATTGAATATTACGTCATTAAAATACTACAGAGTGCCACAGAATACACTTTCAACCTCCTTGAAAGTCCCTTTTATAAGAAAACTTCAGATAAGCGGTGCTCCAGTCGTCTTCGGGAGTATATATTATTGGAGGAGCTCTGTATCGTGTTAAATATCAGTAGTAATACCGACGGCAATCATGTTGTTACCACTGATGAGAATAAAGTGACCTGTGGAAGCAAGCATCGTAAAAAACGGTCTAACTATAAATGCAGGGCCGGGTTTCGCGCCTTCCAATGATGATCATATGAAACAACAAAATGTGTTTCGTCGCGCTTACTGCATCGAGTCACGTGATTCTTTCCGGGTCATGGTTAAACAGCGCACACACCATGTCCAGATTTATTGTTCGCAGCCTTATTATCGGAGTGCGTAGGCTGAATAATTGCGCTGGTTTCTCCATAAACACATGTTGGTTTTTGTGATCGACGACTGGGAAGTTAATGTCTAAGAAAGTATATCATGATGAAGTATCGTACGTGGCAATAGGATATGTTGTCACACGCCATGGTATACTGTAATTTCGTATAAGGTGGTAGAGTGTAGTATTAGATGGGAGGAGATGGATATTCCAATGGAGCGTGCTGCGGGTTCGAATTCGTGAAATTGACTTACATATTGAAAACGTCGAGTGTGTCTCACTTTTCAGATGATCACATTGCTGTTTGAACGCAAGGAACATGTAAAAAAAATGTTCACATTTGCATCAGTCTTAATAGGATATCTTTCGAACTCCTCACTCATCCTGAATTCTTACCGTCTGGCATAATAGTGGAACGAACACACTTAAAACGAAGCAAATAAATGTATGAGTATTGAGCAGTTGTTACAAGCAATTAATTCGGAATCAAAAGAATAAAAACATTGGCTCCATAAACACATTTTCTCGAATACTCAGGCGGTGTGGTTTTGACGAACTCATCTTTCTACATTTAAAATATAGCAAGAAGTTATGATTTGTCTGCGTGAGAAACAGACGCTGCGTGTATACCTACAGATTGTGCAGATTTTTTATTTCCGTACATCGATTTTGCGTGCCTTACCACTAAACTAGATCAACTCCGGTGCTCACTTCAGTAAACTGTTTATGAGAAAGTATTCGCACGATTCCTGTTCTCCATCCAGTGCTTAATTCTTTCATTTTGAGGTTTCAACTATAACTTATATTCATCGACAACACATCAGTGTTTACCATTGATATTTCGTTACTGTACAATCATAATTCATGTGAATACTCTATTGTGAAGAAAAGGATAAAAGTGTACGGAAGAGTGGCCCAGTGTTAATCTGCAATCAGTTCCTACTTCTGACACTCCCCAGGCAAGCCAGAAGTAGAGTGGCAGCAAGAACACCATTAGCACTGGTTAGCCTCATCTTGCACCGTCTTAAACCATACGGTATCACTCGGTCTCCCTCCTGGAAGGCTTGTCGCACCGTCAGAAAATTCGTAACGTATTTCTTGTCTATCTACCACGTCACAAATACGGAGCCTCTGTGCCCGCGCCACTGAACTTGGCACCCTTTTTGGTGAACGGACGACGAATACCAAGTCACCGTAGCGCTTAGCACGGGACATGCTTTGAGTGAAGTTTTCGTTGCACAGTCAAACACCCAATTTCTAAGTGTCTTGATGTGGCTTTGACAGCATCACTCCACACGAGCTATTGTTCCCATACAACGATTATCGGAGACCTGAAGCCATCACAGTCGACCTGCTCCCATAAATCACGTCCCACAACGCACAAGTGAGCAGCTGGCACTTTAGCCTGATACACATGTCCCTTGAGATCCATACGCGTACCGCTAAGCCACCATAGACGTCTTAAATCAACGAACGCGACCCGAGCTTCAGAACCTCGTATATTGGCTTCATCGGTTGACTTCATGTGTTATTCAAAATCTATACAGCTTACACGATACGTTAAACACATCACAACTCCGAGTGTCTCTCCTTGAATTGTAAGTGGGGTGTTAAGCGCCTGCACGCCCTGAAGCATAACCTTGCAATTCGGGTGCAAGACGCATTCCAAAAGACGGGACATCTTCGGTTAGTTCACTATGGAATGTTTGCGCTCTCCTCTTTAATAGTGTCAGAATGTTCCACATCCACAAGATTTTCTTCAATGACCAGTTGAACATCAGATGTTTTAGACTTTCTGCCATTCTCCTCTCATTCTCGTCGATTGAGAAACTGAATATGAATAGATATAGCTTTTTGTACAGGAGCTTTTGAAGAGGTCCCCACACACTCTCGCAACCTCGAAGGTCTGAAAACAAAGAACTTATTATGTTCACAAACTTTTGGGGTGTTCCTTGATGGACAAGCGTGTCAGAAAAAACAGATCGTTCGACCGAGTCAGATGCATCTGAATAAATACAGTTGAGTACAAAATAAACTTCCTCACTCGATAGCTGGGTACGACCACTTTTTGTTCTACAAACTGAGTGTTCTGCCAAATAATACACTGATCTGCCACCTATGCTACTCCTTGACATGGTTTCATTTTATCTTTCAGGTATTTCGTTTCATCATTAGCAATCACAACAATGAATCTGTCAATCACAGTTTGTCCACAACATCCTTTCGCATATGATTTTCGGAGCATCTTGAACGGCGTGCGTTTTAAATGTCAAGAAAAACGAGTTAATCCACCAGCGCACGCTCGGTGCGCATGTTTAATCAGGTCTGAACAGGTGGATGATTGAAGCCCGAGCGTCGGATGATCATGACGTTGTTCCTTGATGGACAAGCGTGTCAGAAAAAACAGATCGTTCGACCGAGTCAGATGCATCTGAATAAATACAGTTGAGTACAAAATAAACTTCCTCACTCGATAGCTGGGTACGACCACTTTTTGTTCTACAAACTGAGTGTTCTGCCAAATAATACACTGATCTGCCACCTATGCTACTCCTTGACATGGTTTCATTTTATCTTTCAGGTATTTCGTTTCATCATTAGCAATCACAACAATGAATCTGTCAATCACAGTTTGTCCACAACATCCTTTCGCATATGATTTTCGGAGCATCTGTACCATATTTTACCCTTCCTGATATTTTGCACCCTGCACCGTTTGTCGTGCTGTATGATCAGAGATAATTTGTTTCCATTTTCCCACTTTTACTCCTCCATCCACAAAAATTTTGTTTTTACATATTTTGACGTCAGTTTTTTCGGCCGAACCCACAACCAGATCAGTACGTCGATTATATCATGCATGTGATAACGTTTTCTTTTTTAAATCTGATTTAGGTCGGATGTGGTCCTTTTATAGCGAACGATGAGAGAGCGTTCTACGAGTGGCAATGTTTCGCTTTCTGTCCCTCCCTTTCTCTGGAGCAGGCATTTTCAAATTTAACTCGGTATTGCTAGCAATACCGAGGTATTTGACGAAGCTAGGGAAGATTGTGACCCTTTCGTTCAAGGCTCCCAACATTGCTGTTATCATCAGCAACAAGTCGAGGAGTGGACCATCGAAATCGTAGGGTCACCATAGCAGTGTTCCATCTAAGTGCGCCGCATACTCATCTAATGGTGTATCCGGAGGTGAATAGACTAATAACCCAATAAGTTTCAACATGTATGTTACTTTTTGGTTGTGACCGATATTGCCGGAGCTCAGCTGAATTGAGGACGACGAAGCACATATAGCCTTGCATTTGCTACGCAGCTGATCAACGATTGTGGAATTTATGTGGACTGAATGGGTAGCACTGCGTGATTCTTAAAATGCCGTAGGAATCTTTGGCACCGGCCAGGGAGGGACCATATTTGACCGGTTCTTTCAGGCAACCTCTTCAGAGTGTACTGGTCAAGTTGGCGTCAAGTAGATAAAATTCATGTTTTGGGATCCGCAGCCATCTTACGATCAGTTAGGGTTGTAGATTTACGGTTGTGGAATTAGTCCTACACGTGCCTAGTATCGGAATTTGAAAAAAACCCTAGAGTTTTGTTTCCTCATCTACCCTTCTTTTGGAAATGGAGTAATTCCGTTTGGAAGACATTTAAAGCAGTCTTTTTGCGAGTTAGAGGTGATCTCCATCTCTGACAGGACCGGACTAAAGCGCTCTTATCGAGGGTAGGTTTGTTTCATTGTACTTTGAATGGTATTCGGCTGTTTGTCGAATTATTTCAAAGCTGGTTAGTTTCACCAATATGACTGTCACCGCAACTGCAGCCAAACTCAAACGTTGTGACTTAGACGCATGAAATTGGTCTAAAAACCAAATTGGTATGGACTTACGTGCTTGCATGTATGAAGGAGTGATGGTCAATGCACGTGCTTAGTAGATAAACTTAGAAAGAGGGTACTTTTTTCGGTTAAAGAAGTCAGATACAGAAAATACTGAATGTGTGCTCAAAGCTGCAATCCAACTTGCGGATTTTCTGTGCGTCTTACGAATCGGATAGTAATGCCTTTGTGAAAAACGTCCCTGTCGAAAACTTAAGCCACATGTCTAGAAATTTCGAACATGGAGATTTTTGGGTTCGAAGACAACCCTATTAGCACGCGTCTCATTCGAAGTTTTTGAGGTTCATCAACAAAGGATCAATTGTCGCTAACACAGTATACGATCAACTGGACTTGGCGCGATAAGCGACTGACAATCGACTGGGTCGACTTTGAAGTAGTCAGACGCCATCAAATCCGCGTGATTCCTCATACGCGGTGCAGATATGTAAAATCAACAACATTTTCAAATAAACTTACTTGAACTGCATTGCTTGTGGGAAGTTACGCTTCTTTGAATCATCCTGCATTCCTTCGAAGACCGGTTCCAGTTTGCTTAAGGAACGCAAATTATGCTTGAAACTAAACATGTCGGCTACACACCAGGGGAGACTGTTGGTTATCGCCATTCCTCACCCAATAGCGAAATATCTACGAGATCCGTCATAGTTTCTGATGCTGTGAGTTCAGCTGCACTATAAATAATCCTCATCATTGTTACTTTTGGGCCGTTGTACGAACGCATGCGAATCTATCGACCCAGGTTCCGATACAGCTGTCGTCTACGATTCCGTCATGAAGCGACTGTACACGCATGGCACACCGGTAGATGCAACCATAACTAAAGCGACAAACGAACGGAATTTAAACTATATCGAATTTCAATCAGATATGTCAGCGCCATCGTCCAGTAAGTTTATATTTATATTACACAGGCGTGGTCGGTGAAGCAATTTTCAACTTTTGGAAGGCTTTTAACCAAACCTAGTAGACTCAAAGCCTGGCAACATGTCCGAGAAGTTCATTTCCCATATGCTGTCAGCGAATATGCCGAAATACGCAACAAAATGGTAGGGGTCTTTTCAACCCACACAAGGCCTACGCTGTACGCACCACATAGGGTTGAACGTTCCCTGTTTAGCCAATCAGAAGAAACATGTAGCTTCTCCAAAGTAATTTCCAAGTGGAATTAACCGCAGGCTGACAAAAACGTACTCAGTGATTCTCTCTTGGACCGGCAATGACTTGGACGACCTTGCAGCCCTTTTGAAATCACAAGGCTTCATTTTCCGTGTGACTGTCATCGGGAATTTGTGCGAATCGTATTCGACGTAGTGATGAGACTTCAACTTGGACGACCTGGCAGCCCTTTTGAATACACAAGGCTTCATTTTCCGCGTGACTGTCATCGGGAATTTGTGTGAATCGTATTCGACGTAGTGATGAGACTTCCTCACTAGTAGTTTTTGCCGAGCAAGCCACAGCTGTGCGAACTCAGCTGCACGCATGTTGTAGATACCACAACATCTAGCGTTGTACCTCCATAAGCCTGATATATTTCAGAGAAAGCCAGTGCAATAGATATCACCGGAACTAGTGGACTCTTTCAAACCATGACATAGTAAAACGTCTTCCTTGTTCACGTAGCATTCTTTTGCATACCAGTTTAGTCTTAGCGGGAGATTCAACTATTATCCTGGATATTTCGTTTATGGATAGTTTTCTTCATGTATTCCCGCTATTCCAATGCGTTTTTGCTTGAACTCTATCCCTATCTTGTCTGCTTTGGAGGCAGTATACCATCAGGTGCCCCTATCCAAGAGCAAGGCAAGGATTTCCAATGATTCTGTTCTGTTCTTTTACACGGGTCAACGTATTCTCCTAGTTGTTCTAGTTTCACTCAGAAAAATACAACTAGATTCAAGCATTGGTCACACTGCAGGGTCAAGATTTTACCTAGCTGATCTCTCTTTTACACGGGTCAATGTATTCTCCTAGTTGTTCTAGTTTCACTTAGAAAAATACAACTAGATCCAAGCATTGGTCACATTGCAGGGTCAAGATTTTACCTAGCTGATCTTCTCGCTTACCATTCCGTTGAATTTTCCAATCTGTGAATAGGAACACTTGGATATGTAACAGAAGTACTATTGTTCGCCCGTGCGACTGACTAATACCCGGTCAATTAGTATATCCTCTTTGAGCGCGTTTTTGTTGTTAGGTAGAATCTATTACATGAATGTACGGTGCTGCTCTTACCAACTTTAACTGATTGGTTGACTAAGAGGAAATTTATGATCCTTTTGGCACGGTGGCACCAGTGGATCTCGTTACGATATCTTGCTTTAGCTTGAGTGTATTTAGAAGTTAGCCGGGAATGAGTCGTTGTCGGAGGCAAATTTGATGTTGCGACAAAACACTTGGTTTGGATTTTCCCTATGTCAAAGTTACTGGAGACGTCTGTACATCGACACATGTTACCCGACGCTTGCGAAGATGGCTACGATGGCTACGGGGCGGTTGTGGATCCTACATCGTCTTCCAGAAGTTTTATTACCAAACCAATATTTCTGAGCGGGACAGCGTGAATTGCATCTGCGAAGCCTGTCACTATCGCTTCACCAACTCGGGCTGTGAAGATGGCATCGATAATTGAGCTGAGTCGCTTTGTGTAATTCTGTTACGTTCTCCACAGATTCGCCCATTTTTCGCAAAGCGTTAGAAGCGAAAGAAAGCATTTCATAACCTCGATTAAGGTTAAGAACAATCGGGTTGGCGTAATGGTATCTCAGGGATCGATCCAGGAGGCTTAGTCTCAGAGGTGTTTTGGCTGAGTAAAGTGATTACTAATATGGGCCGAATCAAACTGGTGGTGACTTTCACTGAGAAGTGGACGCTCAACACACTGCGGACGAGAACGGTTTGACTGGAATAGGAGCATTTTTCCCAAATACAGATGCGACTGATTCGAATTCGTCTCTGTCTGGGGATAAGAGCTATAGCTCCTAGGCTCATTTTCAGTCAGTGACCTCCTGTTCATTTCACCATGTTGCTTATATCCAGCGACCATGATGAACAGCTCTCATGTTCCTCGGGAACATATTCCGCTGGAACAGTTTCCCAGATTCATTTGCGGCTGATCACTCTCAGCAAGGAGTTACACTGATCGACTCCAGAGTATGAGCCTAGAACTGGTAGTTTCGAGAATGTTAATCAACAGACCAGCTGCTTCACAGGCATACTTCAGGTTGTATGGAGAAGCCGATGACCATCAGTGACATTTTGCTCGTAGTAGGACACCTCAGAAAGTAACAGTCTCTTTCCCAGTCAGCTTGTCCTTTAAATTTGCGTTTAAAGCTTATAATCAAGCTTATAACCTAGAGTGCAATGGACAGGTGCGTTAAGGAAAAGCCGTTACACATATCAATGAGTGTTTCTGAATAGTTCCGAGCGCCCATGAAAGCTTTCGTCGACTACTTTGTTTGTGTATAAATTTTNCGCCCTTGTTGAAATGATGAGATCCCAACTTCTGATAGAACATTGGATAGCACAACTCACTCCAGTGCTGTTGCACGTGACCGTTTTGGCCCTCTTTATTTCAAACATTTCTGTGCACCGGCAAACATCAGAATGGTTGTTTACTTGCTTGCAGTTCCAGTTGCTTCGAGACGTGGTTTCACAGTGAAAACTGCTCAAACTTCTATTGAGTTGAGTGTGGTTTGTTGGTGAACATGCAACGACTGCGATGAAGAAGCCATTGCCATTGTGACTGAGCGTCTGACCTACGGAAAACAGTTCGCCAGACAGGCGTCTGGAAAGGTTTTTCTATTCTTAAAATGACTGAGTGTTGGTGAACATGCAACGACTGTGATGAAGAAGCCATTGCCGTGTGAACACGCGACTGTGACTGAGCATCTGACCTACGGAAAACAGTTCGCCAGATAGGCGTCTGGAAAGGTTTTTCTATTCTTAAAATGACAGATGGTAGTTGAT